TACAGAGCCAGCCATTAGGTTATTGTACACAAAGTCGAAGAATAAATGTCATAACAATAAATCACAATATTACTTCTGATAGTTTTTCTCTGTCTTCCAACGAACAGCGAACGATGAAACGATGTCTGCAGTATTGATGACTCCTGTGAAAAATATAGAGTTGGGTTTGAGCAAACAACCATGAATTGATCTTTGAGTCTTCAATTACATTGAAAACATTTACATCAGTAACCTGAACACACTGTACAATATTCCTGCTGTCACATGCACAAAACTCGCCTTGATTTTATTTGTGTAGTTTCATTCCCCTCATCTTTGAATTAATGTTATATCCTCTTTAATTATTTTTTCACTTAATAATAATAATAATAATTTATTTTCATATAAACATAAATTTACATGAAAATGCATGCCATTTTTACAGGCACGATCAAGGATGATATAATGTCAAATCTTAAATTGTCTACAAGTTAATAATGTCTCAACAGTTAAATATTTGATATATATATAAATACACATTGTCTGAACTAGGCTGTATAGTTATTGAATTGTACAATTGTCCTCCAGGTTGAGCGGGAAAATCGACTTCGTTTCGTTTTCATCCCGTGGTTGTAGGCATACGATAATCAACCAATATTGAGGTAAGTACAACGTTTACAAGGAATTGGAAGCTTTTTTAGAAAAATTAAAGTGCTGTGGTGTAACATTAAAGTGTAATAGATTAAGTGAGTGAAATATATCATTAATAAACACATTTATATAGAAAACAGAATGGGGAAGTAATTAATCCTTAGGCCGACAACGTTCATTTGCAATGTATAATGAAACCAATATATTTTATACTATCATGCGTTCACTTTTGGCTTTAATACAATTATTTTCAAGCCAGTTGTCTCTTTAAGATAGTTGATTATGATGAGAAAAGTGGGGAATCTGACTTGTCATTATCAGGGTTGGTCTGCTGATAAGCAAAACTGACTCACTCACTGGTGCAGTGAGAATCGCATGTTTTCACTGTCGATTAGTTGGGTTTAGCACCTGTCTATTCATGAAGAAGTGTGGTTTCGATTTTATAAATTGCCACCTAACCAAAATATAATCCAATATAATACGGTTCCAAAAGAGGTAAACGTCATTACTTTTCCCTTTTAAAAATATGGAAACCCTCTATTCACATATCTTAAATTTGTTTTATATCTGTCATGCTTATGGAAAGAAAATTGATCGCAGAGTTTCCATAAGGGTTCAACCAGTATATGTATTTAGTCCGTCAGTTATTTTTTCCGTAGCCTCTCCATACAATTTCCACAAGTTATCGGTCCAGCCCATTTTAGTCGCTAGCTAGTCTTGATAGTTTTCACATTAGTATCCACTCCGCTGACCACCGTTTAAGGAAACCCTTCTAACGCTAGTTAGGGAAGATCTTTTTCTGGATAGACCAACTTTGGTCTTCATGGGGGTAATTCAAACGAAGTATGTAATCAAATTTTTGAGCTTCTCTGATGCCAACATCCTTGGTTAGGCGAGTACTGGGAGGCCATGTATCCTTATAGAATTGGTATTTCCAAGACGGCCTTTAAAGTTTAGTGGTTGGTTGCCATCAGAGTTGGGGATTCCACTAGTATTTTCCAAAACATTTCGGTTGATGCCGGGGGAGATTGGTGCTTGCTCCCTTTGTCATTCGCATACCAGGATGTTTCTTTCATTATAAAACGTCCCTTTTGAGCAACCACAAATAAGTCATACCCTTCTAGAAAGTCAATATCGATCATTGCTTGGTCTAAATCGGTAACGGGGAACACCTATAGCAGTTGGTGTTTAAACCCGAAGCCAGAAGCCAGTGTTTTCTGCCAGAACGACGCCGTATGGTTTTTATCGGTCGCCTGCAGAGTGGTGGGGGACATTTCTACATCCGACTCGGCCTTCGCTCATGGTAAGATATTGAGCCCAGCTTCTCTATTAACCAAGATACCCACATCAGAGCTTTTATCCTCGACGTAGAGTAATCAACTACTGCTCAGCAGTCGCTAACAAAAAAGAGGTTGATAGATTCTTCGTCGCGTATGGGGGAGTTTAGGCCAGCAGCATGGTTGTGTTAGTTTTATTGACTGTGAGCCGAATCGCCAGTGATACTAATTGAACTAGCCTGTTAACCTAGTTAGTCTGCGTCTCTTCCTTGACCGCAAATGTGCTCTTTCGATTATTTATCTTGTCTGCCCTTTGTTAGGTGTATTTGTGCTAGTTGTTTCATCAGTGATGTAACGTTAGCAATGAAACGAACTCACCGAATTTGTTTGCGTCTTTACAAAGTTGTATGAAGTCTGCAGTGAGGCTTATCATTTCAGGGGAACAGGGAAGGTCTATGCTTACTGAAAGTACGATATACACTAAGCCAAGTTTATGAACCCACAAGCCCACAGTTTTTTTATTGCGTAGACCAAAGGTAGGTCGAAGTACAAAATTGATGTGTTAAATAGGAAATGTATTTCGAGATCAAAATCGTAGTGTGAGGAAGATTGCTTAGGTAGCTGAGGATCGTGCATGAGCGAACGAGGTAACACGATGGTATACTGAACGGCATAAATGCTTGATAGTGAGCCTTGAACTTAATGGGTGGACTTAAACAGTGACGGTCAACGTCGAGTGTTGAGTGGTAAACACTGTAGATTAACGACTTCGGGAAGTTATTTATCGCTACGACAACTATGCCTATAACACATTTGAGTAAGGAGTCTTCTTCACCATTTGTAAATCAAAATTTAATGCAGACGGTAATTCGTCCAGTTTCTTATTAAGGATTTCCTTGAATATAAGAACATTGTCAATTTTAATACTATTATTCGATTTCACAACACAAACAATACGAACAACTGGCGGTTTCCTAACCAGGTGTTGGGAAATATCAAAATTGTTTGTTGACAGCCTACCTGAACCCAAGGAGTGCTACTGAATGTACCTGCATATTCCTCACGACCATCTAGGGAGAAGAGCTATGGTTTAACTGCTCCTTCATTTAAGAGCTGTTATTATATTACTAAGTAGTATCTTATGAGCGGGTTATAGCTACCCGGTGGCCAAAATATGAAAAATAAGAGGGCATCAAGTTGTGAACCTCAAAAAGTAGGCTCGTTGCAATTAAGCCGCATGTGGGACAAACGAAATAACGTATTGGAAGATTTTAATGTTGTATGGGAAGAAATGACGCTACTGCTGGGAGCCGAGTGTATCAGACTCCTTCGGATTTGGGAAACTGATATTTAGGTCTCACTACTGACGCTTCAATTAATCTACTTGTGACTGTGGAGTTGACTGGACTACCATTTATTATATGGGGATGTTTTTATTGACGGAAGCAATTGTTTCCAAAAAGAAGGCTTGGAATCCCAAGAATATAACTCCACGAATATCAAATAGTACCTACAAATTTTGCGGATCGAAAGACAGTTGAGGCATTCGCCATTTGTGAAGGACAGGATGATCACCGTACTTGTTGTAAAAGTGCTTGACTCAAACAAGCACTGAGTCATGTTTCATCATATCCTAGAAATACGAAGAGTTCCCTTATAGTAGATCGAAGAGGTTTATGAGAAAAATTAACCTCCATGGACCAATGTTTCTAACTGTGCAAACTGAAAGATTGGTTGCTCCGAAAAGACAAGAGCTTGGTTGCTCCGTTATGCTATAGTTCTGTATCCCTGCACTCTATTTAAATCGTCGTCAATAAATATGCCTTTGATTAGGAATGTTACATTTTCGCTTCGCTGTTCAGGGTGGTTTTAAGAGGAGCCTGGCTACCACGTTAGGTAGGCCAGACCAAAGAATCAACAGGTCCGGATCTAGCAGGATAGATGGCCATGGGTGTTATTTTTAATCGAAGCGAACTGGAAGCCATATCAAATCTATTCAAGCAGCCTGACTATCTGTTTTCCTAGATCCTATAACTCATGTGGAACAAACCTCACTTACAGTAAACAAAATACTGCCAGTAACTGCGTCGCAGGCTCATTTAAAGCTCCAGCAGATCGATTCCTGTGTGGGCTGCATGATCTGGCTCCACAACAATTATGTACTGCCATGTTTCAAAATTCATAACCCTGTAGCACCACAACTTCTACGGAGAAAAGCTAATCTCTTGGAGAAAGTACAAAGATGATTAAGCGGGGCTTTGAATGAGACAAAACTCAACCAGTGTGACAACGAATTCATTGGAACATACCTATTTACTTCTACCCACCATAGAATCAAGGAAATTTGATTGCAACACACAAAATGACGAGTAATCGAAAACGCGGGTGAAGAAACCTTGTCGAATCGACGCTTTCTCAAAGAAATCAGAAAGTCATCCGACAAGGACATAGACAAGATCTCAGTTCTTTTGTTTCAGCGCCCATCGTTTACGGAACTCACTGTTTTTTGATATGGTTATTGATGTGCCCTTTGGTAGCATCAAGTGAAGCCCGGACACTTATGTTAAAAAGATCAGCTTTAGAGCATCTATTGGGGACATATTGAACATTGCAGAAATCCGCTGGTGCCAACCAAGCCCTTGTTTATTTTTTTCAAAACTTTCTTTTTTCTTCCGATTTCATCTCCTCGCTTACATGCGTAAGATCATTCATACGGTCTTTCATTGGTTTTTGTCACCTTACTTCCTCGATTTTATTTCTGTTCCCATGATGTCAATTCTCACCTTGTTTTCTGATGATGAATAGAATTTTTTAGTGAGAAATCATTCGAAAATTCAACTAGTAACTCATTTCTCGGGTGAATAAACCGGTATCCCAGCTTTCCTCATTAAATACAGTTGAAGCACTGGTGTTATAGAATCCATACAACACTTTCAACCGCCAAACGGCAGCGAAAAGCGAGCGCTGAGAGAGTGAAAATGTTTACGCAAAAGCATCACGAACATTAGTTACCAAAATCATTGATTATTGAAATTACCCATCGTTTGTCACAGGCGTTACGTTTCGGATGCTGATTAATGTGTAAGATAACGTATGCGTCGAAAATACCGACTAGTGGTTCTCGGTAGTGGTGGAGTAGGCAAAAGTGCTTTAACAGTAAAGTTCGTCTCAGGAAAATTTGTCGAAAAATATGACCCTACAATAGAAGATTTCTATCGAAAAGATATTTTGTGAGTTTTGGAAATTTGTACTTTTAAAAATTTATTATGTTATCTGAACATACTTTCGTATTCTTTGAGGGGATCATATATTTGTGGTGCAGCAGATAGGAAATTATACACAGTCTAGATAGAAATAGGGAGACATTGCTATCAGTTTACTTACGTACACACATCTATGTATGCAGGGAAATACAGGTGGATTGGTAGGATGCAGAGAATATTCTGTTTTTGTTAAAGTTAGGGATTTACACAATGTAAAATCTTGTTCATCAAATTTTTCTTACTTTGGCGCTGTCGTCCAATTATTCCAGAAAGCATTACTGAGAATGAATCATGGATAATATTGTATTATTACTGCTCTCTTGGGCAGTAGTTATGATCCATTGTCTCGCTTCTCACATAAATTCAGTTTCTTTTGCTCACTTCCTGATAAAGAAACTTACCTCGTGGAATATTATTTTCCTTATTGTACTTGTTTACATGCTTCTTGACTGTGACATTTTAAAAAGTAGTTTAAAACCTCAAAAATATGTTATCATAAGCTTCTTTGAGAGATATTTGAGAAATATGTGTTTATGCATACTTACTTGATCCTTTCTGGTACGTTGTGAGACGTCGGACATTGCTAATTCCTCCAGTTGACTTGATTCGAGCGTCGGTGGCATAGTAGTAGAATGCTTGACAACCATGCATGTGGTCCGGGGTTCGATCCTCGACTGACTCACTCTTTTACCTTTCTAAGCCAGTAATAAGACTGGTAAAGAGGGAACGATGAACATGAGGCTGACAACCCCATCCTGTAAAAATAAATACCACTGCTACTGAAATTTCAGGCATCTAGGTTGGAACACTATATTCCACTGTGAACGTTAAGGGAATTCTGTCTGTTTTCGACATAGAACTTTGCACAAATGCGGAAGTTCAAGTCGCCACATTCGTGTAGCACGCGAAGCAAGACAAGAAAGTACAAGAAAAGCATAATAGAAACAGTGAGCAGAGGTGTGAGAAAGGTAATAAAGAAATACAAAACAGTTTCATTGAGATCATAAGTCACAACGAGTGGATGCATCTGTGCCATTTAGAACGATTTTGAGCCATGTCACCAAATGTTTCAACCATAGATTTTTACCGTCCCGAGGACCCCAGCTGGAATCTACGTGGCTTAGACCAACTGTGTGGATTTCATGACTGATGCATGTTTTTCTTTGACCGCCGCTAGCTTTTTTCCAGCCTGACCCTATATCCGCTAACATTGCTCGTCGAGGGAGGCGATGGCTTGGCATACGCATGTCCTAACCATCTCAGTCTTTGTAGCTTCACGACTTCGTCGATTGATTTCCCTGTTTACCTAGAACTCTAAGCCTAACCTCCATGTTGCTCACCTTATTATGCCACTTTACACGGGAAATAGAGCGCAGGTACCTATGATCAAAGACAACTAGCCGGCTTTTCATGTCTTCCACTCTCAGTGGCCAGGTCTCACAGCTGGCCATAAAGGAGGACGGAGCGGACTGATGAGCAGTACAAACGCCCTTTGGTCGACAGTCGAACATCTCGTCTACGCCAGAGTCGGCGTAAACTGGCAAATGCGAAACGAGCCCCTTGTATTCGTGCTGAGATTTCGTCAGAGATCAACCCCTGGCACGGCTAATGGTACTTCCCAGATAAGTGAAGCGGTCAACGTGCTCTACCACTTCACTTCCTATTTTAAACTAGGCGTCGATGTAGTCCAGTCCTGTAACATCATCTTGCATTTGGCGGAGCGAATCGCATTCCAAACATTCGTAGATTGCGGCTCAAGGTGTTTAGAAGACTCTGCATTTCGTCAGCGTCTTCGCCTAGAAGGATCGTCTGCATATTCCAAGTCAACGAGATATTCCCTGGTAGCAAGTCAATCCTGAGTCGCTGAAGTCACTTAGGGTTAAGTCCATTAACACATCTATGATGGGAATAAAACAAGGTGACCTGATTCGTATTACTCTCTACTTCCAAGGACATTTGAAGTAGAAAATTGTAAATAACAGAAGCAGAACTATCACCGTGTTTATAAAATGTGTTCGAATTCAACATTTTCTGTGTTATTTTCGTATCACTTAGTCGAGTGTTCATTTGTGCGTTACAGTTGTTGAAATAACATTTACTTGCCAAAGTTAACATAGCGAGTTATAGCTGTATCTATTTTTGTTTGTAGAAGTCTAATAAAATCTGTATGTTACATCCAAGTAAACTAATTTCTTCACCATATTAAAAAATGGAACCTAAACACCGGTAGGGTATCAAGATCATACAACTGAGCAGTAAATTGTGTTCATAATTTCGCTACTGAATGATTATTACTGCATTACTGTTGCAACAGATAAAATTACTCTGTGATCATTGTTATTGCTTTTTGGGAATACAAGTGTGGCCAAAAGAGATGTGCTACAATCGGGTTTTGAGAATAAAGGTGTACTGGATAACTTTGTAGGTCTGCAATAAACAAATCAAGACTATGAATCTGCAGGTAGTTTTTCTTTTTGATAATAGTTATACTGTAAATGCAAATGCTCCGAATTACTGTAGTAAAACTACTTATACTTCAGGGTTGATGGCGTTCATCACACTTTAGAGATTTTGGATACTGCCGGCACAGAACAGTTCTCTTCTTTGAGAGATTTGTATATACGAAATGGCCAGTGCTTTTTGGTTGTCTACAATCTTGCTAGCCGTCAAACATTCAGTGATATACGCAACATGAGAGATAATATACTGAGAGTAAAAGGTCTCCAACCGGGTTCTGTCAAATCTGTTCCAATAGTTCTTGTTGGAAATAAAGCTGATTTAGCATTAAATGGTCATCGAGAAATCGATCCTCAAGAGTCAGAAACACTTGCTGCCCAGTGGTGTTGTCCTCATCTAGAAACATCAGCAAGGGATGATGTCGGAGTAAATGAAGCATTTTTGGAAGCAGTACGTCAGGTAAGCTCTACACTATCTTGTTTTATGTAATTTTTATTAAATATGAACAATTTACCCCCCCTCCTTTTGATTAATACTGTCACGGAATAGTTTAAGTTGACAAAATACAGTGACAGAGTATTTTTCACCAATAATACTCATAATCATATAGCATTTTATGACTATGTGCGCTAAGTTATGCTCGAAATGCCATCAAGTGAATAATACTGCTTCTCACTGCTTTATCAAATCAAATTATCCTACGGTGGAGTTATACCCTACCACTCTTTTTATTAATTTTAAGTACAAAAGTTATTTTACGAACTAGTGTTTCTCTTAAGAGTTATTACTTGAGAATTTGTTTTAGAAGGTTGACATATATACTAGAGGTATCTGTTTCTTCAATAAAATACACTGTAAATGGTGGATTATTTCAAATTTCACTCTAGGTACACATTTTATCCTAAACAGGAAGGCTATACTGAGCACTCAAATTTGCATTAACTCTTTAGCCGTGATCATTAACTACTTTTATTTTGCATTTTTTCTCTTTACGTTCCCCAGTGGAACATAGGGCTTCAGCTAGTGGTTTGAAGTTTCTGTAGCAGTGTTTAATTTTACAGGATGGGGTTCCTAGCCTCATTCCCGACCTTTACTCTTTATCAGCATTGTTTCTGGCTTAGAGAGGTAAAGGAGTGAGTCGGCCGGGGATCTAACCCTGGACCATGTGCATAGTCGGCGAGCGTCCTAACCGCTATGCCACCGACGCATTACTGTCTGAAATTTGCTTGCTTTTTATGTGTATGAGGCTAATGCGATTCACTGGTTCTTTTTGACAGTCATTTAAAGTTTCCATCTCTGTTCCTGGGTCACATCATCAGTATCACTGATCTGAATAACATTGTCAAGTTGGAGTGATAAATGCATCCAAACATATTCAGTGAATTTTGGTTCACAAATTCAAACGTAGTTACTAAGTAATTTATCGCTTCTGTCTTGAACGCTGCCCACTCGTAGATGTATTTTGCACTTTTATAAAAATCTTTTGTTCCGTGTGGCGATTGATGGGTGGGAGTAAATTTACAAAGTAACTAGTTAAAATCCCACACTTTAATTCATTTTCCATACATTATAATTTATATGATTGAACGTTGTCATAAGTTCTCACGTACAAATGGGAAAACTACTTCCGGGTCTCAATCGTTTTGTTATCAGTAGTGTTACTATCAGTATTACTATTATTATTACCGTCATCATTATTATTACCATTGTGGTGGCTATTTTTTTTGTTCATCGTTAGATATCCCAGAACCCACTAATATACCGTCATATGAAATCATATATGTGAGTAGTGGTTTGTGAGAAATGGTAACTAGGGATTATTCTGGATAGGTTGTGGTTTGTTAATACAATAATATAGTTTCTGTTAATTGGTTGCAGTTATTAACCATTTCGCTTTATGGGAAATGGAAAAACTGTATGGTTGTTATGGGCTAATTAGCTGAAATTAGTTCTTAAAATCCAAAAAGTCATCATCATCCAACAGCCTTTGGTTGGCGCTTGAAAACAGTAAACTCAAGTAGCTTTCATACAAACTAAATCTTTCACCCTTTGTCAGAGCTGGTATTGAAGTAAATCTGAATTTAGAATATATCGACTTGGGGATTAGTAGTAGTTTTGCCTAGATTATGGTGATAAGTTTTGTGGGATCTCCACTAATTTTTTTTTAAGTATTTAACTGCATCATAGATGCACTTCATATAACAGTACTTGCTCCGTACTAGTTTACTAGAGTTGTTGTCACTAGAACTCCTTCGTTTTACCCGAGGAGGCGATAGCAGTATCAAAAAGTCTTCTAAATACCAATTAGTACTTCCCTGGGTTCCTAGTGGAAATTACTGCTTCAACAGAACGTCTCCATTTCATCCTGTTTTCTGCAGTCCTCTTTAACTGGTTTCACAATTCCCCATAACCAGTCATTTCTTGAAACGGTCAGCTCCACGTCACTCTCAGATCAACTCGTTTTTCATCCAGGTTCCATTCAAGACATTCCTTAGCGTACGATGTCACTCGACGGTCCTTTCAGTTTGTCTGTGTTTCCTTCTGCAAAGTTTTTTGGACAATAGATTCTTGGTTGGTTCACCATCTGCCAGAGTTCCTTAATGTTTTTTTTGACTTGTAAATTTTCGGAATAAAGTGGGTATATTTATATATGTTCATCTTCTAAGCGGTTGTGATGTTCATATGCTGGATTACCAACTTTAGGTCACATGGTTACTAATTGGTTTGCTGAACCGCAGTCAGTGGGGGCGTAGGCGGAGATTACGAAAAGGCATCGGCGAGTAGTGCAGTCCTTTCTCTTTTTACTGACCCGTTCAGACGGACAGCACACATTCGGCTATCTACCGGGATCCAGTCAAGCAATGTCTTTTCTGCCCTAGTACTCAAAGCTATCCCTACGCCAGCTAATCCTCGTGAACTAGCTGTGGCATCTCCTGACACCCTCAGGTGAATTTTGCAGATTCAACCTGTTGGCCAGGTGGGGTTAGGTGAATAACCACACTTGGGTCTTGTATGCGTGTTTCTGAAACAGCATACATCAATGGCTCGGATGCCAGGGTCTTGGCTGGTGATGCTTGTTGTCCTATTTGGCAAAGTGTCCTAACATTAAAAGCTCCTATATGAAATTGGTGGCGCGGCTTTAAGAGGCTGTCGGTGGTGGTTTTTTGGCTTCCATCGTTTTTAGTGGACGCAGAGTGGAGAGGAAGTGGAGAGCTATCAAGTCGAGGAGTTGCATCAGTGGAAGGAAGGCAAGATGATAGAGATGAAGATGAAAACAAGGATGAGTGAGGATTAGAGAGGTTATGTGTGCATTTCGGATTGTGAGGGCGTTTGTTACTTTCCGGCTGCCCACACCGTGGAAGTTGGTTGCGTGACCGCAGAGCCCAGGGGACAACTGCTTGAGGCCGGTCACACGCGTCCTGTTTTTGTTCGTTGTTTGGTTTTTGGTGTACTCAGTAGCATACTTATCACTTTTGCCCTGTGACACGGCAGCAGGAAGCGCGGTCGTTGTTAATCCGGGCCACGGCCGATCCGGCATGATATTTTGTGATTTTGTATTGATCATGATGTTGGATTGGGTAGCTGCTTTTTGTTTAACCGCTATCCAAACAACCTGCCTGGCATGGTAGGACCTCAAGAGACATGAGTCTAAAAAAAAATGGCACTATAATTAGCTCCCAGGATAGATGACTGGATCGTTGGAAAGAGCATTATGAGGAGCAGTTTAATTGGCCCATAGCCACGCTCAACCTTCCGAACATCCAACACCTCCCTGAATGGGATATAGACACAGGTCCTCCATCCCAACTGAGGTTACTAAAGCTGTCACCAATCTGAAACTAGGCAAAGCAGCGGGACCTGATGGAATGACTCCAGAGGTATTTAAGTACGGTGGAGACAGCTTACTGTCTGCATTAACTGAGGTACTAGGCAGCGTCTGGGAATCAGAAGAAGTCCCATCGGGTTGGTGTAAGTCACTGATTATCCCCATATACAAGAAGGGAGACAAGTCTTCCTGTGATAATCACAGAGGGATTAGCTTGACTAATATAGTATCTAAAGTCTTAGGCTCAATAATCATGCGTAGACTAAGTGGTGCTCGGGAAGCACAAACACGAGAGAGCCAGGCAGGCTTTAGACCAGGAAGAGGGTGTATTGATCATATCTTCACCCTCCGACAGATTCTAGAACATAGGCATTCCTACCGGCGTCCAACAGTCATTATATTTCTTGACCTAAAGGCAGCATTCGACTCTGTCGATCGAGAAGTTCTCTGGAGATGCTTGGCTGTAAAGGGAATTCCGAGAAAATATATTGCACTGATTAAGGCACTCTACTCGTACTCATACAGCCAGGTGAGGGCTTACGGCGAGCTGTCATCTGAACTGGTGACGACCAGTGGTGTCCGTCAAGGATGCCCATTATCCCCTTTTCTATTCAACTTCATCATAGATGTGTTAATGGACTTAACCCTAAGTGACTTCAGCGACTCAGGGATTGACTTGCTACCAGGGAATAATCTCGTTGACTTGGAATATGCAGACGATATAGTCCTTCTAGGCGAAGACGCTGACGAAATGCAGAGTCTTCTAAACACCTTGAGCCGCAATCTACGAATGTTTGGCATGCGATTCGCTCCCGCCAAATGCAAGATGATGTTACAGGACTGGACTACATCGACGCCTAGTTTAAAAATAGGAAGTGAAGTGGTAGAGCACGTTGACCGCTTCACTTATTTGGGAAGTACCATCAGCCCGTGCCAACGGGTTGATCTCTGACGAAATCTCAGCACGAATACAAGGGGCTCGTTTCGCATTTGCCAGTTTACGCCGACTCTGGCGTAGACGAGATGTTCGACTATCGACCAAAGGGCGGGTGTACTGCTCATCAGTCCGCTCCGTCCTCCTTTATGGCTGTGAGACCTGGCCACTGAGAGTGGAAGACATGAAAAGCCTAGCTGTCTTTGATCATAGGTGCCTGCGTTCTATTTCCCGTGTAAAGTGGCATAATAAGGTGAGCAACATGGAGGTTAGGCGTAGAGTTCTAGGTAAACAGGGGAAATCAATCGACGAAGTCGTGAAGCTACAAAGACTGAGATGGTTAGGACATGTGTTACGTATGCCAAGCCATCGCCTCCCTCGACGAGCAATGTTAGCGGATATAGGGTCAGGCTGGAAAAAAGCTAGCGGCGGTCAAACAAAAACTTGGCATCAGTCAATGAAATCCACAACAGTTGGTCTAAGCCACGTAGGAAGGTGTAGACTTCCAGGCTGGGGTCCTCGGGACGGTAAAAATCTATGGTTGGAAACAATTGGTGACATGGCTCAAAATCGTTCTCAGTGGCTCAGATGCATCCACTCCCTGTGACTTATGATCTTCAATGAAACTGTTTTGTATTTCTTTATTACTCCTTTGTCTCACACCTCTGCTCACTGTTTCTATTATGCTTTTCTTGTACT